CGGGGCCGCCGCCGCCGCCCGCCGCCAACGGCTCGGCCGAGGGCGCCGCCAAGGCCCGCAAAGCCTTCCCCGTGCTGGGCATCGACTACGGGCACGTCCGCATCCCCTTCGAGATCTCCCTCTGGATCCTGCTCGCCTGCCTCATGAAGCTGGGTACGTTGGGCTCGGCGGCTCCCCGCGCCCGGCGGCCCGGAACGTCGGGAGAGGAGCCCGGAATGCCAGGAGAGGAGCCCCCCATGTCAGGATAGGAGCCCCCCTATGCAGGGATAGGAGCCCCCCATGTCAGGATAGGAGCCCCAGTATGCAGGGATAGGAGCCCCAGTATGCAGGGATAGGAGCCCCCCATATGCAGGGATAGGAGCCCCCCCATGTCAGGATGGGAGCCCCCCCATGTCAGGATAGGAGCTCCCCACATGCTGGGATGGGAGCCCCCCCCTGCCGGGATAGGTGCCCCCCGTATGCCTGGATAGGAGTCCCTGCACACTGGGATAGGAGCTCCCCACATGCTGGGCTTGCTTCTCGGTCTGTCCCGGCATTGGAGATCCCAGGGCAGGACTCCCGAGCATCCTGGCACAGGGTGTCCCGCATGCCAGGGCTCCAGCTCTACGTGCCCCTCCGACTGTCCTGCCGTGGGACCCCTGGGTGTCCCAGTGCCCAAGTATCCCCACACAGAGCTGCCAGGATCCAGGGCCAGCAAATAGCCTGGGATAGGACCCCTGAGCATCCCAGGCCGGACCCCAGACATCCCCCACAGGATCCCCCACGTCCTGGAGCACAAGCCCCTGGCACTTGGGACAGGCGTCCCAGCACATGCCGCCCCACATGTCGGGATGCCCCCCCAATAGCCTAGGGACCCCCATACATCCTGGGACAGGGCTCCCCAGCATCTGCAGGAAGGGATCGTAGGGGAGGACACCTGGGCACTGCCAGGAACAGCCCCCAGTTATCCCAGAGCGGCAGCACGAGCATCCCGGGGCCGGGCGCTGCATCCCGGGGCCGGGCGCTGCATCCCGGGGCCAGGCGCTGCATCCCGGGGCCAGGCGCTGCATCCTGGGGCCGGGTGCTGCATCCCGGGGCCAGGCGCTGCATCCTGGGACTGGACACTGCATCCCGGGGCTGGGCGCGCTCTGCTCCCTCGCCCGCCCTTGGCTGCCCTGGCGCCTGCTCCACTCGGAGCCGCTGCCGGCGCGCAGGGCGTTCCGGGTTCCACCGGTTCCCTCCGGCAGCACCGGGGAGGAAGTGCCCGTTCTGTTCCCTCGCTTCCTTTCCCCTCCGTACGTAACCTTGGAGAAGTCACTTGGGACGCCCCGGCGCTTCCCGCAGCCGCCGAGCGGGGCGGCCGCTCGGGTCCGCGGCCGAGGGCCGTGTCCCGGGGTCAGCAAGTGCCGGGACGAGTGACCCGCGCGCCTCGCAGCCCTGCAAACGCGTCGGGATCTGCTGGGGGGGACACGGCCCTCTTGGCCAAGTGTTTTCCAAACTTCTGCAGCTGGATCAATAGCAGCCCGTGCCGGTGCAGAGGTCAAACTCATCCAGCGGCGATTTCGCTGTTTATGGGCAGTGATAAAGCCCGAAGCCCGCGGGCAAAACGTTACCCCGGTCCCATTTTGCTCCTCGATTCCCTTGGGGATTTAATAGCCTCCGCGGGCTCGCTCCGCATGGGCTGTTGCCCCGTGTTGGGGCGCCGCCGCGGAGCGATGGAAGCAGCAGGATCCGTGCGGAAGCTGGCGGAGAAAGGAGGGGCCAGCGGCGCTGGCCGGGCGCCGGCGGAGCCGTGCGCGCCCGCGCTCGCCGCAAGGGCTGCTCGCTGGCGGGGCACCTGCGGGCGCCGCGTGGGGCTCCTGCCGGCCCGGCTCCGGCCCCGGCGCTGCTGCCGGCTCCGCAGGGTGGTTGTGGAGCGGAGCGTGGAGCGTGGCCAGGGCGGTTTGGGAAGAGCAGCTCCGGATGGGGCCTTTGGAGGCTGCGGAGGCTCCGCGGAGGCCGAGTCGCCCTGTGCTTCCCTGCGCTCTTGCTTTGCGCAGCGCCCTGTGGAGCGGCCGAGCCCTGCGGAGCAGCCTCCTTCTCCGCGTCCTCGCGATGCCGCCTCGGAGCAGCGGGGAGCGCATGGCGAGCGCCGGCCCTGCGGCAGCTGCCCGCTCCCCGCTCGCTGCCCCGGCCGCCGTGGGAGAGGCCGGAGCCGCCAGCGAGGCCCCGCGTCCCCCACCGTCCCTGGTGGCCGCAGCACCCCGAGCCCTCCCGAGGGAGCTCCAGGCGGCAGGACGAGGCGCTTCCTGATTGTTTGTGTCCTATTCCCAGCAGATGCATTAAGTTTTTCAGGCCAAATCGAGACGTGGGGATGTCCTTTAGGAGGTGGCTCGTTGTGGCTGCTTTCCCTAATCTCACTGCAGAAGCTGGCGCCGTTTTGCTTAATATTCGTGGCATATTTTAATTGTGCGTTAGGAGAAGGGGAGCCAGATCCAGCCGGGCCTTTCCGAAGGAGCTGCTGCTGAGCAAGAGGGATGCAGCCCGCCTGGATCTCAGCTTGCTGGATACGTTACATGGTGGGAAGCGTCTCCAGGTGCAGGGCTTTGCTGTCTTGGCCGGGAAAGGGGAATGAGAGCAAAGATTCCTGCCCGGAGCGGTGACAGCCCTGCTGCCCGTGCCGAGGGCTCCGCAAGGGTCCGCAGGGCTTTGCAGGGGCTTCCCTGGCACCTTGGCAGCCCGGGATTCCTGACTCGGACCTGACGCTTCGGCTCCCGGCGGCGCTCGGGCCATTCGGGTTCAGCCGTGAATGTGTTTCCGCGCTGCTGGGAAGGGAAGGGATGAGTCAGGGGTGGAAGGAGCAGGCTGTGGTGCCAGCCCCATTACTGACCACAGGCTGGGTGCTCAGGGCTGTATTGTGACCCACCTGCGTGGCCGTGACCTTGGACACGGTCATGGTGTCCAAGTACACACAGTGCCAGGGTTACCCTCATCTCCAAAGCACATTTAGGCCTTGTTTTCCAAAAGGAAAAGCGCCCACAGGCGGGATTTCCAGCCCGCATTAAGAGACTGCTTAGAGCAGGGCCGCCTGTGAGCACCAAGCGGCTCCTCTGCATCCCGCAGCCTCTCGCTCCTGCTCCGTGTTTGCCCACCTCCCCAGGCAGCTCGGGGGGATGAGGATTCCCTAAATCCCTGCGGAAAAGACGCTGCCTTCGCTGCATGGTGTGGGCCGGGTGCTCGCCGCCTGGTGCGGCGCTCCGGTTTTGGTTGGAGCCTCTAGCAATTACTGAGTCATTGCTCTGCCTTTTTTTTTTTTTTTTTTTTTCGCTGTCGCAGCGCTCGGTCTCTCCGTGCATGCAGGGCTGCTGTCTGGGGTCGATCCCCTGCGTGCTGAGATGTCACGCGTGTGATTGTGGGGCTGGCCAGAGCCGTGCGAGGAGCCCCGCTTTGCAGCGAAGCGTTGGACGTGGTCCGTGGGGACGGGGGGCAGCAGATCCCCATGCGTGGCACGGGGCACCCGCCTTTGCAGCCAAGTGTAGGACGTGGCACGGGGCGCGCAGCGGCCCAGCTCCTGTGCTAGCACGTCCGGCAGCATCCCCGTGAATGAAATTGCCGTGCTGGTGAATGGAAATAAGTCTCTTGTCCTGCAGATTTGTTGCGTACCTGCTTCCTTACGGGGAGCAGCCCCAAAACACGCGGCGGTTTCGCCTCTCTCTTGCCATCTCCGAAGAGAACAGCTCTGGTGCTTTCCTTTTTTGCTAGTCTGGCCGTTGGAGGTGCCTGAGCAGAAAACAACCAAACTGTTTCCTCTGGGGATCCAAGAAAACCATTAGATTAATTAGGGCTGGAAGCGTGAAAGGTTCCTGCTGCGAAATCCGGGCTGGTGACGGAGGAGGAAGAGCCGAGCGTGTCCAAAGGGCCGTGCTGCTGATGACAGCCCGGCCTCCCGGGAGCCGCCGTGTCCATTGAAACCGGCAGGGTTGTGGCTACGGCCTCCACTGCCCGGGAGACTTTGTCACCCGTGTCGGGGTCTGTCCCCTGCGGCAGCCGGAGCCGGGTCGGCGCTGGCCTCGCTTTGCAGGAGGTGCAGCGAGCGCGCCCGGCCTCTGCATCGCAGCCTTTCCGGGGTGCCCGGGGTCCTGTAGAAGCCGGGGGGTGCAGATGAGGTTCCCAGGCTGCGGGGAGGGCGGCTAAATTGAGTGTGGAGGGTTTGAGGACCAAGCATGGGAAAAAGGGAACGTGCGTGGTGCGAGGGGGAAAGGTTATTCCTTGGGTAAGAAGTATGTAAATCTGCAGTGCTGAGGGAATGGTGTTCCTGTCTTGGAGAAGAGGGAAAGACAACAAAATGCTCTGTTAGGTAAACTAGGAGCTTGTTTGGAAAAGAGTAGTTCAAGAATGCCCCCCCCTTCCTCACATTGACGTCTGTTCCCCTCCTCGTCCTGGTTTTGCTTAGAAGAGGTGACGGGAGCTGCTGAGACCATCCTGGGACACGGCGGGACCCGGGCCTCTCCCGCGAGCATCGCTCCGGCAGCCGCTCCCGAGCGGAGCGTGGGCACCGAGGGAGGAAACTTGAAAAGCAGCGATAATGAGGATGAATTGCTGCACGCGCCTTGTAAACATTTGATTTCTTCTTTATTCCCCCACCCCCATGGTTCCCCAAGGCTTAATTTGTTCGGATAAAAACGGAAATCCATCAGGAGCAGTCAGCAAAAACAGGGCCTTGCAGAGCCGAGACGGAGTCGTGTGTGCCTGGGCTCCCTGACAGCCTCACTGCTTTGAATCTGCCCCGGCCAGCAGCAAACTGCAGGGGAAGGAGCGGAGAGGCTGCGGCCGTGGATTGACGCACACCGGGGATCGATGCCCCATCACAGGAGGGTTGAGGTTGGCAGGGACCTCTAGAGATCGTCCAGTCCAACCCCTGCTCCAGCAGGGACACCCGGAGCACGGGGCACCCGGACACATCCAGATCTCCAGAGCAGGAGACTCCACAACCCCTGCTGTGGAGCCTGTGCCAGGGCTCGGGCACCCTCACACCAAAGCCGTTCTCCCTGCCATGGAGATGCCCCTTGCTCCCGGTGCCCGCTGGCGCACTGCTCCACACACCAGCTCTTCCACCTGCATTGGGTGGCCGGCTTCCCTCTCCAACTTCTCAGCAGCTTCCCATTGTGTGCCAGTGGAGGGATGGGAACCCGCCT